ATTAAAGAGATTGAGGAAGACACCAGGAGATGGAAGGACCTCCCATGCTCATGGATTGGAAAACATAATACTGTGAAAATGACCATCCTATCAGAAGCAATATATAGATTCAATGCAATCCCAATCAAAATCCCCATGACATACTTCACAGAATTAGAAAAAAATCCATCTTTAAATTCATATGGAAGTACAAAAAACCCAAGATAGCTAAAGAAACACTGAGCACAAAGAGCAACGCTGGGGGGATTACAATACCACATCTCAAAGTATACTACAGAGGTATAGTCATAAAAACAGCACAGTACTGTCACAAAAATAGACACATAGATCAATGGAATATCACTAAAATTCCAAACCCGAGAACATGCAATTTCAGCCTTCTGATATTTGACAAAGGTACCAAGAACACACAATCGGGGAAAGACAGCATGTTCAACAAATGGTGCTGGCAAAACTGGATTTCCACCTGTAGAAGAATGAAACTAGATCCTTATCTTTCACCTTGCACAAAAGTCAACTCCAAATGGATCAAAGACCTCAATGTAAAACTGGAAACCCTGAAACTATTGGAAGAAAGTAGTGGCAGTAACTTAGAAGATATAGGTGTAGGAAAGGGTTTTCTAAATCGGACAGAAGTTGCTCAGGAATTAAGGTCAGCAATCAACAAGTAGAACCTCCTTAAACTAAAAAGGTTCTGTACAGCAAAAGAAACAATCAAAAAAGTGAAGAGAAAACACATAGAATGGGAAAAAATCTTCACCAGTGACACATCTGACAGAGGTTTAACATCCAGAATATATAAAGAACTCAAAAAACAAAGAAGCGAGAAACCAAATCACCAGATTAAAAGATGGGGCTAAACAGAGAGGTCTCAAAGGAAGAAATAAAGATGGCTAAGAAACATCTCAAAAAGTGCTCAACATACTTAGTTATTAGGGAAATGCAAATTGAAACCACCCTAATGTATCACCTTACCCCATTCAGACTGGCTAGGATCAAGAGTACAAATGATACCAAATGCTGGCAAGGATGTAGAGAAAGGGGAACGCTCATTCACTGTGGGTGGGATTGCAAATTCGTACAACCCCTATGGAAAACAGTGTGGAGAATTCTTAAAAAACTAAAAATGAACCTACCATATGACCCGGTTATACCACTCTTCGGCATATACCCAAAGGACTCATCCTATTGTAGAGACACTTGTACAACCATGTTTGTTGCTGCTCTTTTCACAATAGCTAAGAGATGGACACAACCTAAATACCTCTCAACTGACGAGTGGTTAACAAACATATGGTATATTTACACAATGGAGTTCTATTCAGCAGTAAAGAAAGATGAAATAATGAAAGTTGCAGGTAAATGGATGGATCTAGAAACTGTTATACTAAGTGAAGTAACACAAACTCAGAAAAATAAAAGACATGTTCTTCCTCATTTGTGGATTCTTTTAGTTTTTTGATCTGTTTGTTCGTGTGTTCTTTAAATTCGTTGAATTCCTTGATCACGTTTATGATTGTTCCTTTAAATTCAGTGTCCTGTGTTATCTCTAGGGGGTTCTCCTTGTAGAACTCTTCTACAGGACTGGTGGAGTTTGGTGGGGACATAGTGTTTTGGCATTCCATTTTATTATTCTTTGTTGTGATTTTGGCATGTGAATTTCTTTTGTTGTGTGTGATTCTGGTATAAGAATTAAGTTAAAGTATCCTTCTGTTTGTATTATTGGTGGCCTTGGTCCTTATTGATTATGTAAAGCTGATTGGTACAGGTTTCAGATTTTCTCAGGTTTTATTTTGGATTGAACTGATGGCTTCAGATCAGCTATTCAGGAGCACCTGCAAAAGCGCAAGTCAGGTTCCAGTCAGGTATGCTCAGGCTTCCTTCTAAGATTTGGACCCCTATTAGCAGGAATGGCACGTGGAGGCACAATCCAGGCACTCTCAGGCAGTCCTCTGTGTTCTCAGCCTCTATGCCAGATGGAGGCCAGAACCGGCGGTACTCTCTACAATCTGCTGAGATCACAGCTGCTACACTGATGGAGGTCGGAACCCGCCCTCTCAAGCTGTCTGCTGGGATCTCTGAACACATCTTTTTTAACTGTCAAATTTCAGTTGCTTATTGAGACTTTGTGAACATAGTGTGAATTTTGTGTATTGCATGGTGGCTTCTTTTACATTCTAGTAGCTTAGTTACATAGCATCTACTGCAAGCTTGGCCAGATCATGTTACTGTATAGCAATCTTCTCACCTCCATCTGCAACAAATCATTTTGTGGAAATAGACTCATTGGACATTAGAATCAGCATATGAATGTGTTTGCTCTTTGATAAAGGTGCATAATCTTATCAGGAACACGGACATGAAAAGTTCCTGATTGGATTGGGGTTATGCCTGCGGTAAAATATACATATTGGGTATTGAGAATGTGCATGTGGCTGAAGGAAGTCACCTAAAGAAAAAGAGTGTACCTTAACAGTCAGTTGACAGAGTCCAGGTATTTCCAAGCTCAGAAATGTTGTAGGTGAAGTAGCAGAGGAGACTGAGAAAAATTAGCCTGTGAATTGGGAGGAAAGTCGATAGGGGAAGTCAAATTAAGGTACATTGTCATGGAGGACATGATCACTGTGCCTGGATAGGCCTTATAAGATGAGAACTGAGAACCGACTTCTGTTGAGTCATATGAAGTCAGTGGTGATTGTGGCAAGATCAGGTTTAGAGAGTTACTGAGGTAAAATCTAGAAGGGGATTCAAGAGAAAATAGAGTACAAGATGGGAAGATAGCTTCACGGGGTTTTGCTACAAAGAGGAGCTGACTAATAGTGGTAGTGGCTGTGTGCTCAACAGAGAATTTTGTTGTTAAAATGAAAGAAAGGGGCTGGAGATAGCTCAGTGGTTAAGAGCACTGGCTGCTTTTGCCGAAGACCTGGGTTTGGTTCCCAGTACCTACATGGCAGCTAACAGCCACCCATAACGACCATTCTAGGGGATCTGATGCCTTCTTCTGGCCTATATAGGCACTGCATGACATGGGTGCACTTACATACTTACAGGCAGAACACACACTCATATACGTAAAAATAAATACATCAAAAAATTTTATTTTGGCTTTTTGAGATAGGGTCTCCCTGTAGCCCCAGCTGTCCTGGAACTCACTAAGTAGACCAGGGTGGCCTTGATCACAGAGATAGAGACCCACCTACCTCTGCCTCCCAAGTGCTGAGATTAAAGGTGTACGCCACCGCGCCTGACTTGAGTTTAAAAATTCTTAAACAGGCAATTTTGGATATTTGAATGGACATTTCATATTTTTTTTGTTTGTCCATTAATGCTTGTTTTTTCAAATCTGTACTCTGAAGTCAGAAAAGGCCAAGTTCAGTTGCTTATTATTTTTGCATGCAGTGCTTGAACTCACAGAGATCTGCCTGCCTCTGCCTCTTGAGTGCTGGGATTAAAGGCTTGCGTCACCACACCCGGTTCCAAAATTTTTTTTAAGATGAAAAAATTTCAAATATTGATGCAGGTGAGACATATAGTAACGAAAGTAGATGAAGTGATAAGGGGAGACTTGCTGGTGTACCCTTCAGACTCAGGATCCTTTACGGAGTCGTGGGGCCTTATAAAGAGTAGACACTGCACCTGTTGTCGTCAGGAGGGAAGGCAGGAAAATATGGGCACCAGTAGGAGTAGGTAGGTAACTGGCAGAATATGAAGTTCTCGAGTTCTTGCTGCTGTTTTCTCAAGCAGGGCTGTTGACTACCAGTGCGGATGAGGGAGAAGGACTGGAATAGCCATTTAGGGTGAGGGGGCAACAAATACATTTTATGAAATTCTCAAATATTCAATAAAATACGTTTTTTAAAAAGGACATGATGTATCATTGCCCAACAACCTGGAGGGTGTCTTTAGGTTCCCGATGGAAGGGCTAAGGCCTAGAGTAGGAGTGCTGCCATGTCCTCAGCTAGCTTTGTCAGGAGACTTTGAAGAAATGAAAAAGTGCTAAAGGGCAAAGGAGTAAATTGAAGCTGCTTTACTAGTAGTGTAAGGACTTGGGGCTGGGGAGGCACAGCAGAGGGATGGTGGTTTCAGCCCTATACCAAGGAGTCGGATGGGGTACTAAAGTAATGAACCAGCAAGTCCTTGGTTTTGCATTCTAAAGGAGTTTCGATCTTGGCCAGGCGAAAGCTGAAGAGTGAAGGAGAGGTCAAGGTACTTGAAAGGCCGGAATTCTGGAAGGATTATCATCTCTGTGGATATGAAATTTGGACTTAGAACTGAGGCCTTTTCTGTGATTTTCTAACATTTGTTGCATTGGATTATATAGTAGAGCTTGGATTCCAGCCCCAAATTAGAATTTTGTCTCTTACACTGTCTCCCATTCTTTGCATGCGTGAGACTTTCTTGATCCTCTTTTATTCTTTCTATTGCATTTTTAATCTGACCTTTTGCTAATAATTTGCAAGTCTTCATTTTTTCTCTTTAAATTTTCATAATGCAATTTTGAGACATGTTTTAGTTTGGGGGAGCTGGAGACCAGCTCAGTGATTAAGAGCACTTGCTTTGCAAGCATGAGAACCAGAGTTTGGAACCCAGCATCTGCTTAGCAAGCTGAAGTGTTTCTGCATACACCTGTAACTCCAGCACTGGGATGTAGTGACAGCATTGCTGGGGTCTGCTAGCTGAAAAACACAAGCTCCAGGTTCAGTGAGAGATCCTGCCTCGAAGGACTAAGGCAGAGTGCTCGGGGAGGACACCAGGTGTTTTCTTCTGGCCTCTGCGTGCATATACAGATGTCCACACCTGCTACACACACATACAGAAAAATTCAGTTTTTGGTGATTGGATGACTACTTGTAATACATCTAGTTCACACAGGAAGATATACTTCTTTTCCTCCAGAGTTCATATCTACACTCAGCTGTTATGTTTGCATGTAGCTATTTTTCTAAATTAAGAAGTATATTGTGTTCTGTAGTTAAGTTTTTAAATATCTTTCCCTTTAGGTGTCAAAAAGTCAAGATGGAAAAGAACAAAGTGAAGCTATATCACCATCTGAAGATGAACCATTTTCCTGGCCAGGGCCCAAAACCGTTATGTTGAAGAGAACGTCTCAAGGATTTGGTTTTACATTAAGGCATTTTATTGTTTATCCCCCAGAGTCTGCAATTCAATTTTCATGCAAGGTAAGAGGATTCCCATTTCACTCACCCTACCCCTCTGCCTTTTTTCTATCTCGAAAGAGGTGTGTGTTCTATTTGCATTTTAAAAATTATTTTAGGCATTTCCACTTGGAACAAAATTTTAGTCTCTAAAATGTATGGATTCTGAACTCTAAGTCAATTTTTCAGTGACTCTGGACTTCTTTCTATTCTAATATATAACTACTTTCCTAGAAAAGTTTTCTGCTGCATAGGAAGAATCAGCAAGATTACGTTTATTACCGTCCATGTATATAATATGATGTAATATGATGGCAAGCCAGAATTTTAAAACATGGCTTCTTAGAGTAAATCATGACTATGCTTCAGTCTGAAAAGGGTCAGTATTTGATAATTAGAATTGCCGCACTGAGTACTCTTCATTCTTTGTTACCAATTATGAGTGTTACTGTACTTCATCCCCAGCAAAGTCCTGTGGAGAAGTGGTTTTATTAACCATATAACAGATGCCAAAACTTGTTTAAGTTTGGGTGTAGTGGCGCCTTTAATCCCAGCACTCACATTAGGCTTGCCTCATAGAGATCTACCTGCCTCTGCCTCCCAAGTTCTGGGATTAAAGGCATGTGCCACCATGCCGGGCCCCTTCATTTTCCTTAAATGCATCTCAGTAAAATATCTTAGAGGATAATCTTTTAAAAGTACTGAATAGTATTTGAGGATTATGAATAATTACCATTGGGATTAAAATTTACTAGTCAGGTTTCCTGATCTGTCTTTAATGCTATTAGCTAGATACCTTAAGAATCTATTTGAGGGGCTGGAGAGATGGCTCATCAGCTAAGAGCACGACTGTTCTTGCGAAAGACCTAGGTTCAAGTTCCAGCACCCACATGATGGCTAACAACTGTCCATAACTCCAGTTCCAACATCCTTTTCTGTCCTCCGCAGGCATTGCATGACATGGGTGCACTTACATACATGCAGGCATAACATGTATACACATAAAATAAAATTTTTTAAGATTTAAAAAAGAATCTAATTGATCTTAGAAGGTGTAGAGTAATATTATATTAGATCACACATCAGAACATTAGATTCATTTATAACTTAGTACTTTTTGTCCATTTAGAGCACGGGAAGCACATAGATAATATTATAAAATAATCTTTACACCAGTTAAAAAATATATTTGTGGGGCTGGAGAGATGGCTCAGCGGTTAAGAACACTGGTTATTCTTGCAGAAGACCTGGGTTCGAATCCAAGCACCCAAATGGCAGCTAACAGCTGTCCATAACTCCAGTCCCAGGGGATCTGACAGCCTCTTCTGACTTCCCTGGGCATTGCATGACACAGGTACACTTACCTACATGCAGGCAATATATGCATACACATAAAAATAATAAATTTTTTTTAAAGTTTAAAAAAATATATTTGTATTTTAAAACTGGAAAATATTTCTGGAGTCAAGAGCCTGGGTTTGAGCCCCATCTCTGGCTCATACTAGCTAGCTTTGTGACCTTGAGTAAGTCTCCTATCAGACAGTAATAGTACCTTGCCCAAAACTGAGTGATAACTATGTAACAGAAACACTTAGAACAGGAATTGATATGCAGTAATGCTCAGTAATTTTCAGTAATAGTAATACTGTGTGCCGTGCTTATATTCCAGCAAACAGGTCTCAGTCTTAATACATTTTTCATGGAAAATATATATTGAAGTATTTTCCATTTTAATTTAGAAGTCATATCATTTCACTCAATGACTGGGTGGGCGAGGGGCTTCTGGGGATTGGATCCAGGGCCTTGCACATGATACATGCCAGGCAAACAGTCAACAGTGAGCCATGTACCTAGCCTCATAAGAATTCAAAACAATTTTTAATATTGTATAAAAGAAAACATGTGATTGACAAAAAAGAAAGTGTGCAATTGACAACAATGTCTTTATTATGTCACTAAGCTGGCAATCTCCTAGTCTTAGAATAAAGCTTAGAACCAGAAGAAAACACCATTTGGGCAGCCAAAACAAAGGTCAGAATTATGTCATAAACGGCGGCCTTCAGCCAAATCTCTGTTTTTCTTTCTGCAGTCCATGGTAGCTTTCATACAGTAGAGGCTCAGCCAGTGTTGATGTAGATGTGTTTCCACGCTAGTGTTTGCAGTTGCTTTTCTAACACCTCAGCTAGGTATAGACAACGTGGCAAAGATAGCCTGGTACTAAGGAGACCAAATAGATGAGCTTCTGGAATGAGCATAAGAACTTCATTATCTAGAAATTTGCAAGGTTCTGAGCCCTGTAATAGCCCATAAAGCCTCATTTAAGGCCACTACCGTGTCGTAAATAACGGCCAGCCCTGCCTAGCTCTTAGCTTCTGGCTTCAGCTCTGTGCCTCCTCCACTTGGCTATCTCCGTTAGACACCGCCCACTCACTGTCAGTCTGTCAGTCTGGAAAAGGATGATTTTATAATAATTCTGAACTGCAGTGTTGATGTCATCCCCTAACTTCACTTTCCTTCTCCATTTGTGACAGCTCCACCCTCTGGCAAAGGTGCTATTAAATTCTAATGTACCAATAATTTGGATTAAATTGAGCCTTGCTACGATTTGACAGGAATTTACAAATGGTGTTTTGTTTTATTTTGTAGGATGAAGAAAATGGAAACCAAGGAGGTATGCTGTGAAACTTTTATTACCTTTTCTTTGAGTGCTGTTCTGTGTTTGTCTTTCTGTTCTTGAAGTGATGTCAACTGAGATGATTAGTTTTTGAAATTCACCTGTGGAACAGTTTTTAGGTGTGAGAATCATGGATGTTAAGTAGCTTTTATCTTAGACTTCAGAGCTCGATGAATTCCATTGCTAAACTTTTATGATTTGAACATGTAATGATTTTATTATTTATGTGATTATGAAGGAAAAATCTATCATTTTTATTTCAGTTAGTAACCTTTGTCATTTCAGCAGGTCTTTCAGGTAAGGAGTCCTTTGTGTTTATCAACTAGGTTTTGTATTCTTAAATTAATCTTACTCTTCGTTTAAACATTATTTAAAGAACTTCAAAGGAAAATCAGGCTAGGTGTGGTGGCCCATGCCTTTAATCCCAGCACTCTGGAGGCAGAGGCAGGCAGATCTTTGAAATGGAAGCTAGCCTGATCTACATTGTAAATTCCAGGCCAGCTGAGCCTACAGGAGATAGGGAGACCAGAGAGATGAGACTGTGACTGTCAGTCTGGAAAAGGATGGTTTTATAATTTATGATTTACTTTTCTTTTTGGGGGCGTGGTCTTTTTGAGACAGGGTCTCCCTGTAGCCCCAGCTGACCGGGAACTCACTACATAGACCAGGCTGGCCTTGAAGTTACAGAAATCTGCCTGCCTCTGCCTCCTGAGTGCTGGGATTAAAGGCAAGCACCACCACACTGGGCTACTTTTCTTTTAAGTCTTTAATGAGTTAAAATTTATATTTAATAAAATGGACTCATTAAAACATTTATTTATAGAGCAGGACAGATGGCTCAGCAGTTAAGAGTGCTTTCTGCTCTTCCAGAGGGCCTTAGGTTGGTGCCTCCAACCTACACACACACACACACACACACACACACACACACACGCACGCACACACAAATAAAAATAAGAATAAAAATAAATTTTAAAAAAAAACACTTTTATGCCAGGCATAGTGGTGCACACCTTTAATCCCAGTACTTGGGAGGCAGAGGCAGGAGGATCTCTGTGAGTTGAGGCCAGCATGGTCTACAGAGTAAGTCCCAGGACAACTGGGGCTACAGGGAAACTCTGTCTCAAAAAACAAAACAAAACAAAACCCACTTTTATTTCTAGAGAAATTTATACTTTAAAAAATTATAAAACGGTACAATTTCCATAAATCTCATTCAACTTCTCTTGTGTTAAAAACTTACTGTGGTCAGGTGTGGTAGCGCACACCTGTAGTCCCAGCACTCAGGAGGCAGAGGCAGGCGGATCCCTGTGAGTTCAAGACTAGCCTGGTCTACATAGTGAGTTCCAGGACAGCTGGGGCTACAGGGAGACCCTGCTTCAAAAAGACAAAAAACAACAACAACAACAACAAAAAACTTACTGTGATACAATGAACAAAACTAAGAAATTTGTATTGATATGATATTATTAATTAGCTACAGACTTTTACTTGAGTTTTACCAAATTGTCACTGGCTGTCTTGTTGTTGGAGTCCTACACTGTGTTCAGTCTGTCTCAGCTCCTCTGTCGTTTTTTCTTTCTGTATTTGGTGACCTTGACATTGTTGAAAAGTCTAGTCTTTATTTTGTAGGATGTCTTTCCGTTTGGGTTTGTCTGATGTTTTTTCAACATTATTTCAAATTTAATTTGTCTTTAGCAAGAATGTCACATTTGTGCCTAGTTTAACATTTTGTAAGTTTTAACCTGTGAAACTACTGTCCCAATCAAGATAAGATATCAAAAAATAACCTTTTCATCATTTTTAATACTTCCTGGGTATTCTTAGACAATTACTAATGAGCTTTTTGTCAAAATAGAATTTTGCCTCTTCTGGAATTTCCTGTAAAGAGAACAGTGAGCTGTGTTCATGTCTTTTACCTGGCATAGCATTTTCTATGTCTGTTTGGGTACTAACAGTACTACCTTTTGGGGGGGGGGTGATTTCATTTGTATGAATGTTTCATAGATTTTCTACTTTCCTCAATAATTTCCATATCTTGCCAACCTGCTTTGAGGTCTTATAATGGACATGGAAGGGTTAAACTGAAAAGAAAATAGTTTCTTTCAGCACTATCCAAAATAATCTGAGGTAGGACACATCATAGATGTCACCTGTGCAGAATGGGGCACTCTTCCATCTCCATCTGTTGTGCACTAGTGTTTAGGATGAATTCCAAATGCTCCCTGGTGTGGTAGAAACAGGGACAGCTGACAGAAGAGGCCAGTAGAGAAAGGGCATCTGAGTTCTCTGTCATCTTCCCATCATTCCCCAGGTTTATGTGCAGATATGGCACACACAACACCACCTAGAATTCCATGCCTGTTGCAGGGGAAAGACATGTCTGATAAAAGTAGGCACATATAGCCAGAAAACGCACGCAAGTATTGTGGGTCTGACATAGCTTACTGAACTAGTTGGATGTTCTTATTTGCTCTGGGTGGAAAAAATAAACTTAAACATTTTAGAGGAAATAGGAATTACAGAAAGAAAGTTGCAGCAGAGGAATAAAATGCAGGTGAGGGGTGTATCTGCTGGGAAGATGATCACTTGCCAATTTCTACCAATTTTAAACCTAATCTTGTTTTAAAAAAAGGGGGTTGTTCATATATGGAAATATATGTATAATCATATAGTAAGATAAAATCCCCTAAGTTACCAGGCATAGTGGCACACACCTTTAATCCCTGCACCCGGGGCAGGAGACTCTCTGTGAGTGCAAGGCCAGCCTGGTCTATGTAGTGCGTTCCAGGCTGGCCCCACTACAGGGAGACCCTGTCTCAAAAAGACCAAAAAAAAAAAAAAAAAAAAAAAAAAAAAAAAAAAATCCTATAAGTTAAGTTTAGGGTAAAAATATAAATTCAACCAACAGCAGTGAAATACAGATAAATTTATGTTGTAGTTCCTACACTATTGTCAAAGATGACCTGAACTTGGTTTTGAACTTTCCAGTAACCTAAGAGTAAGTAAGAACAAGAATAGTTCGGGTACACATCATCCATAAGGAAAAAACTTCCACTTGGCACTGAGCTCTGAGGCAGATTTCTCTTTTATGCCCCTACACTGAAAAACAAAGCATAGGGGGCTGGAGAGATGGCTCAGTGGTTAAGAGTACCGGCTGTTCTTATCTTACAGAGGACCCGGGTTTGAATCCCAGCACACGCATGGCAGCTAACAACCACATGTAACTCCGGTTCCATGGGATCCAATGCCCACTTCTGTCCTCCGTGGGCATTGCATAACATGTGCGCACTTACATGCATGCAGGTATAACAAATACACATAAAAATAAATAAATTAAATAAACCAAAACAAACCAACAAAATCAAAGAATAATGCAGTCTGCAATAGCTTTAGCACTGTTCCTTCATATAGCTGTTTTTCTTTCAGTTTCTCAGTGTGGGATGACGTCACAACCCCAGGATACGATGCGCTTAGGGCTGCTCAGGCCAGAACAGTATTGTGCCTCAGGAGATGGGCTGCAATGTCCATGGACAAATGTTATCTCAGTGCTACTGGCATCTCTTAGGCAGAGGCAGAGGGGTTACTGAGCATCCTACATGTGGGGAAATAGTTTAGAAAGTCCAGAAAATTCAGACCTTTTCTGCTAAGAAGAAAAAGTTGAAAAGGCAAGAGAGTTCCTAAAGAACCTACTTTGGAATGTGCTTGGAGGAAGTGCTGGATTTGGGAGTTGAAGGGGTGGTATTGATATGCTACTAATATTGATATAGTAATCTGCACCAGATATCAACATATATGCTGTTATTCTGTTTAACTCTCACTATAACTCTGAGGTATGAAGTAATATTCTTTTGTAGATAAAACAGCTCAAATCAAATGGCTAATAAGTGACAGATCTGGACGACCAAATTAGTTATGTCACATGACCTTTAACTTCATAGTTTTTTTCCAATTCTCTTATTTCTGTTGACTTATTCTTACATATTTATCATTAATTTTTTTCTCAAAAGTAATTGTCTTTTTGTTTGGTTGTTTGTTTGTTTGTTTTGTTTGGTCTTTCTAGACAGAATCTCCCTGTAGCCCCAGCTGGCCTGGAACTCATTATGTAGACTAGGCTGGCCTTGATCTTACAGAGATCTGCCTGCCTCTGCCTTCCGATTGCTGGGATTTCTTTTAATATATAGAACCAAGAACTAATAGGTATACATAGTATGTTTTGAAATTGACTCTGTGAAGTCTGCATGGAGAAGGTTAAAATTAAAGAAACTTGCTTTATGGTTGTGAAACCTCAAGGACAAATCCCCGATCACATTAAAGTGTGGGTGTCTCTAAGCACTTCCTAGGGTCAACCATCTCTCATCTCTCGTTGCTTCCTTCTGATACTGGCCTAGCAGTGAACCTAAAACATCCCTTGAGCCTAAGGAGTTCCCAGTGCCTCCCTGATTGCTCCTGACCTTACAGGTCAGACTTTGTACCTGTAGTCCCAAGTAGGGCACAGTCTACGTAGTCCTCTGTTAGCCCAAGCATAATAATTAGAATATTATTTCAATTAAACTCATCAACCATTGGGTCATATCTGTGTCAAAAAAATTCTTCCCCCTTTTGAGCAATTACTTATCCGTTTTTAGAATGCACTCTAGTTAGAGACAGATTGTGTATGATTTACTGTTTTAATCCAATGAATGTTATGATTTTTATTTCAGTATAATTTCCTTTTAAAATATATTTCCAAGTTTGTTAAAATTATGAAATTCTCCTCTGCAAGCTTTGTTTCAATGCTAGGATCCCAGCCTCATTGTAATGCTCAGAGTCAGAGCCTAGACTCACTTAAGCAAAGGTAATAGCCAGAATTGTGTTTAGGCTCCCAAGAGATCCTGCTACAGTGCCAGAGTCCTGTAAACAGTCAAAGCACTGTTTGTTGTTTTCCTTTTTGGCTATTTAATGAAATCTCTTTTGGTGCTTAATTTTTTGATATTTGACTTATCCAACTTTTCTCT